CTAGAAGCTATAAATCGTGACTTATACTGTATGTAGTTGCTCACCTTCTGAACATTAGAGCCCAAAGTGTCCATGCTCTTGGTGGGACTCGCTTTCCTTGAGTGACGGGAACGCCCTAGTAAGGCTATCCTGTGGGACGAAAAATTCTAACGACTTCTTAGCCTTAGCCCCCTGTAGGCTGTCTCAGTCGTGTAGCACTGCTTTTAGCACACAGCCAAAGGCTCATAATCTCAGGACCGCAAGCTACACCAACAGGAGAAGGACAAGAGCGAGTCATCTGATAACCTGCACGTAACTGTAGAATTAGTTTGCCGCTCAGCTTACGGCACTTACTGATGAAGCTCAACGGATTAACTATCATGTAATCGGAATTTAGCGAGACGAAGAGAGAAGGATTCGCTAACATGGGAGTGGATGGATGGAACGGCAGTATATCTAGAAGCCCGAAAGCACAAAACAACTGCAGGAGACGTTGGCTTGCGGCTTCATCGCTTACCAGACTTCTGCGAGCATGTACAAAGTGTCACGTTTTAACGAAGTGTCACGTTTTGCGGTTACCGTTTCGCCTTGCTTAACGCCAGTATCTCCAAGGATGTACAGGTCGCCATTATACAAGTATACGCGCCCACAGCAGATTGCGAGGAAGAAGAACACAACGACTTCTATGATCAACTCGAAGAGCTCGTACACAGCCAGAAAGGCTATGTCGTAGTGATGGGCGATTTCAACGCCCGAGTCGGATCGCGGAAGGACGGCGAATTATTTATCGGTCCCTCATTCCGCTGAAGCGCAACGAAGCAGGAGAAAGGCTGGCAAATTTTTGCGAATCGCACCATCTCTTCCATGGCAACAGTCAGTTTCTCAAAGCGGCTTCCAAAAGATGGACCCACGTGTCTCCGAATGGGCAGCACTTTCATGAAATCGACCATATACTGTGCAATAGAAGAGCCGCAACAGATGTCGCCGTCGTTCCCTCCTTCAACACGGGAAGCGACCATCGCCTTTCACGAGCATAATTTCACTTTGGTCGAGGTCTAATGCGTGCGATACGCGTGCGTTCAAGGCAATCATGCCCCGGACAGTGTTGAATGCAGAATTAGCAGCAGGACTTGCGAGCATGGAACCATTTGAAATGATGGATGATATTGACGAAGATTATCAACGTCTCGTTGAAACAGTGGAAAAGCTTGCAGAACGCTGTCGTGGCGTTGCCCGAACCACACCACTCGTCATATATCGTCTTCTACTCGCGCGCTGCTGGAAAAACGAAGAAATATCTATCCCCTGGGAAATCACTCAGGCTGCGTTTATACTTTACGGCAGCGTAGCGTAGCGCTTCCAGCGTACGCCAGCGGCAGTGTCGGGAAAAGATATCGATCTAGCGCTTCCCAGCGTTCACTAGCGTTTCGCTCCTGCTCTTCTATACTCTCTAGCCCCTCTCTAGCCCCGTCGCTGCAAGCGCTAGCGAAACTCTAGTGAAACGCTGGGAGCGCTAGATCGATAGCTATGCTTCCCGTGCCCTCGCTACGCTAGCGTACGCTGGTGACGCTGGGAACGCTAGATCGATATCTATCCTTTCCCCGACACTGCCGCTGGCGTACGCTGGAAGCGCTACGCTACGCTGCCGCAAAGTATAAACGCAGCCTTAGAGTACACGCTCTTTGTTCAGGATGTGCAGACGGAAAATCGTGGAACTTTTCCAGGTCAAGGCTTCTAGATGAAGCGGAGAAAAGGCGTGTCTCAAAACCGAGGGTGGGTCTTGTTGCTCGTCGATACCAGAAATGGAGCGGATTCTGGCGACGTTCTGTACCACTCTTTTCAAGTCAGACCTCACTGAAAGGCGTAAGAAATTGTCGCAAATCGGAGTTCAGCATTGCCTTTTCTGACATCGGAAGTACGTCATGCAGTTCAAACGATGCCGCGAGGAAAATCACCCTGGAAAGACGGTATCAAAGCAGAACTACTCCATGTGGATCACCCATTTATCGTAGTCTTGCCAAAAGATATACTCGCTACGTGGCTGAAAGTGTGTTGCCAACAGCGTGAAAGCAGTCGTCGACGGCGCTGCTGTTCAAAAAAGGTTTTAAAAAGTGTTCACTCGTTGTATATTCGCGCGCATAAGAAGGGCGCTAGAAGAAGCCCTGCTGGTAGAAAAAGCAGGATTCCGTCGAATTTCAGCACGCTGGACCATGTCGCAACGTCTGCATCTATAGAAGCAGCTGATAAGATCTACATAGAGGTGTGGTGCAAGAATGTTACACCGGTTGTACCACCACGTTCCGCACCTTTTTTCAACGATGTGGTAGTTAAATTGAGAAAGGTGTAGACAAGGTGACCCGATCTCACTCAACCTGTTCTCCGCGTGTATTAAATCCGTTTTACGCCGCTGCGAGCAACTCTGGATTGGACATTGATGGTACTCTTCTGAACCAGCTTCGATTCGCCGATGACATTGTGCTGATTACTAGCTCGCCAGAAGAAGCTTCCGAGATGCTGGATCGTCTGGACCAAGAAGGGAGTCAGTACGGTTTGACGATGAACACCTCAAAAACGAAAGTCATGCGGAATCGATTTGCCGGAGGTGCGACCGTAATCTTAAAAGGGAGCCCAATCAAGGACGTTGAGAAAGACGTGCACCTCGGGAGTCAACTAAACAATGAATGCAGAGCTGACGAGGCGCTGCCAAGCTGGATGGGCAGCATTCAACTCTATAAAGAGCGTCGTGGAAGATACCAAGAGTCACAAACTCCGTGCGGACCTCTTCAATACAACAGTGCTGCCTGCCCTCAGCTACGCGGGAGAAACTTGGGCCCTCACGAAAGCGCACGAAAGACGGTTAAAGTTGCCCAAGCATCAATTGAGCGCCGCCTAGTAGGCCTGACGTTAAGCCGTCAACGAGAATTGAAACTTCACAACTCAGACGTCAGAGGCCATGTCGAAGATCAAGGACATTGCTCACGTCGACGAAGCAAAACATCGATTTGCCGGCCATGTGATGAGGAGAAATGACGGAAGATGGAGTTCCGCGACCATACGATGGTACCCGCGTGATAAGAAGCGACCGCCAGGCCGCCCTCCTCTGCGCTAGGCAGATTCTCGCAACAATGTTCATGATCAGATTTCTCTTGAGGTCTCTATGCACTGGACAAGCAAGGCTCAAGACAGAGATCAATGGAAAAGAAGTTGGGACCCGCGCAAGGTCAACCGCCGTGCTGAAGAACGGGTCGTCTAAGTGTTCGAGAGGCAGTCGCCCTCCAAACCCCTCCAACAAAACGCATGGCGACGTGGTTCAAAGCCCTCGCAAGTCCATTTTCTGAGACTCATGTCATGCTAAGTATTCTCCTCAAAAACGGCACTGTTTCCCCCTGTTCTGCCTGCGCTCCCCGAGAATCTAGGTGTTCCTCACCCGAGGGGCGTGGGAGGTAACGCGGAAAGAAAGGTAAGATCCCAGCGGCCGGTCCACCTTTTGTCCAGCCATAACAGGGATTCTCTGACCGCCTTAACGCGCATAAAACCATAAGAAACATCTGCAGCGCCTTTGTCGGGCCCCTGCCCGTGGCGCTCAGCTTTGAGTGGCCTTTACACTACAACATAGAGAAGAATGCATACGTTGGCAGCGATAACTACGTCCTCCAGAAGATATCCTACATCCGTTGTGGATTGACCATCGATTCATCACTCCATCGATGGTAGACGTCAGCGGTAAAGCGGTAAGGGGCGCCCCGTCGGCCACCAATGTGAGCTAGGCGCCATTCTTGACCGCGCGAGCGTCCAGCCCTCGCAGCACCAGGTGGTGCTCCGGCTGTCTCGCTCCATAGATGCCAGACGTCTTTACTCCTCCATACAAGGAGTCTGGTGCGACTATGAGACGACCGGCTCTCAACACGTTGATAAGAGGATGAGACCTGCAAGATGAACTTAGAAGAAGCAAATTGACTTCCCGTGCTCCTTGTGTCGCTTTCGGTTCGAAGTGGCAATGGGATTACCGTGCTACATGAGTGCTTGAATTCCTTACCTTTTCTGTACTGTGACCGTGCATGCAGGCAAATAAGAGCACTGGGGCTGCTAAAGAATATGAAGGTGCGAATGAACGTGTTCCCAGAGCATAGGTTTTTGGTTTTGAAGGGAGAGGCTGCAGGCTGGGTGAGCCACTTATCGTGCGTGAAAAGCTGAAATGTATGGGGTTGAAGAAGTCTTATCTATGTCACGCAGAAGTAGGACTGCAGAGAAAAACAGCTTGTGATTAAAGGGATTGATTTCAAGTTGCTCAGGGGCCGCGAAGTTACCGGCAGGTTATCACTGAAGTGTTTCTGCCTTGCAGAGTACCTCATAACAATTGACAGGTCGTAGGCAATTCACGACTCAGCAGTTCGTTCGAAACAGAAGATGGAAGCAGAAGCGATAGGAAAGCCAATGGTTTAGATGACGATTCAGAAGGTTGAGCAGAGACCCCAAACAGTCAATAGCCAGTCGGCAAGATGGCTTTAGAGCTAAGCTCTCCCCAAAAGGACACTCTTTGCGCTTCTAGTGCCTTCCCCACTCACAACGAGACGAAACGTGCGCTGTCGCTGAAGCGCGGTTTTTCTCACCGCATACCATGAACGTCCAGAGAAGCCGCACGCAAGCCACAACAACGACCAAGCAGGCCCGCCACGGGGAGCACTGTGTCGAGCACCTCCACCGGACACCCCCGATGCGACTGACATCGGTATGTAATCGCTGTCCATCGTTCTACCCAATGCAACACACCTGCCCAGGGAGAGTGAATGTAGCCCTAGGGAACCATGAGTTTCCCACGCCACGCACCCCTTGCACGAACCCTATTACATGCTGCTCGTCCCCTCTTCCCGTCGACCGTCGCATCTGCGTCACCTAATCCTGCGATTGTCGCTTTGCACAGGTCTCCAACCCAAAAACGGGACCTCTCTCTATAGCCGATGAACAGAGAAAACGTTCAAATGTTTATTAAGTGCTTTAGCACAATCGAGCTGATAAGTTCTTTAGCTCGTATACATCATTTCTGGGGTAAATGTCAGTATGTTTCCCTGAAACTGACGGTGAACCTCGTCAAACAAATCCGTCCACATTCGATCAATTAATTGTCGAACATTATGGCCACCTACACATGAAGATAATGCTCCACATTGTAATGCCTGAATAGTTAAAGGAAGTATGAGCTAAGTCGTAGTGGTGGATGAAGTGAATAAACTAACTTTCTCAGCAACTACCACATTAATATAAGCGTACTGCCATGGGTTCATCACCGCCCGTGCACGTTTTTCTCGAAGTTTCTCTACCACTCCCTTAAAAGGAGCACAAAACTATGTTTAGAAAAGCAGGCTGGGTACAGTACCGCCAAAAACTGTCCGTGAAATCAAATGTGTTAGCCCGTAGACGCGCACAAATTGCACCGTACCGAAAGCCGCTTTGGTTGCCCATAATAGAGGCACCTTCACTAATTGTCGTATGCTTTTTGCACAGCCATATTGATGTGCATTTTATCATCGACTCAGACCCTGGCGCGGCTCTCTGCTCGCTCGCTCAGTGGGGATTGGTAACCTATCGTTTAGACCTCGCTAAGCACTAGGACGCGCTGTAACGCGCTCCAGCGTTACGGATGGAGACGCTGCCGCAGACAGGTCTCGATCGTTGAAGGCCACTAGTGTTTTGAGAGAGTATAGGACAATAGGAGCGTAGGTGCTGTCTAATCAAACAATCTGGTACCCTCCTATTTTCAGGAATTCTCTCAAAACAGTAGCAGCAGGCGTTAACCGATACCAGACTGAAGATTAGACAACGCCTACCCTTCTATCATCTTATATTTTTCCAACTCTCGCCGATCGATACGGGTCTATGGTTACCCGTCTATGTCGATGCACATCATAGCGAAGTGTGGACATTGTCTAGCAGAAAGATTGGTCAAATAAACGATTGGCGTGCAAGTATACTCTGTTCGGCAGCTTTCAGACTTCGCGACGGCAGCGCTTTGGTAGCGCGATCGAAGCGCTGCCGTCGCTAATTCTGAACGCTCCCTACAGAGATAAACGACTTGCCACTGAAGTAACATGTTGTAGTATACTAATGATGTGTCCAGGAATGTCATTAAGTTAGCAGGTAGCAAACTCATGCTATACTTGCTCTGGGCTCGATCTGACAGTAAAACGCGCTTCGGTCAGAAAACTGACCCTCGACCTGCCCTGCGAGGACCTGTTACTCGTTGGTGTCCGCCCCGAAAATGTTAACATTACCTTTATATTCACCGTATTGTTCTGATATAACTGTCGCAAAGCAACGTCGAGAGCAATGAAGACGCCGGTACGACCGAGCCCGGCGTGACAATGAACTAGCAAGGACGATGATGATGGTGGCAGCTCCTGGAAATGAAGGAGTGCGTAGTGAAATCAAGGTGATCAACAAAAGGGCGCGAAGTCAAATGGCATCAATAGAGGGGCACAAGATCGAATGCCATCAACAGAGGTGCGAAAAGATCCCGATATAAGGATCGCGTAACGAGATTTTGTCAGAATTTCTAATAACATCCTTCGGAACGAGGCTCCTTACCCAACTGGTCTGGATAGTCACGTAGTTTTTGTTTGCTTTAGCTGTCCGGCCTTCACAACAACACAGTGTTTTTCCTTTAGCAATCAAAGTTCAGCTCCTTCTTACCCCCCCCCTCGCCATATTGGCTGCAATTGGTTAATGAGTATTCTGCTAGGTTTGTTTTACTGTTTTTTAAGGCACACTTTCATGGGAGACGGGCAAGAGAATCGTAATTTGCCGCTCCGCCGCGCGCGGCGATGGCGCGGCGTTTTCTTAACTCGTGTTAACCTGTCGATTGGAGCACCGGACTTCATGTAGACCCCGTCATCGTAGACATTCATGACTATTTTCGGTTCTGAATTGCCTGTTGTCGCCATCTACTACCTGGAACCATCGTCATTTGCGGGCGCGACGTCGCACGCGACGCCCACCAGCGCGGTGAATTACGATTCTTTTGTCCCCAGTCCCATAGTAGGGTGAGTACTCAGCGGGAAACCAAGGCGAGCCCACCGGCAAGTCTGCCAAGGGTCATGATGGGTGAGAAGTTAGAACCTTCCAAGAACACCACCCCCACCCTTGCAAAGGATCTCTGCCTCCGCTCCCGATACTGTAATCGGAACCAGGTCGCCAATAGTAAACGCTCCCTAGTGAACTGTTCGATATGACAACTCGAGACTTTTACAAAACCTCACAAAAAAACTAGTACAAGTAGGCGGGGCGTTTGCCCTCTGGCTGGTTGGTGAGGCAAAGGGGGTGGAAGTGGTACGTCGGCCCACACTTTAAATCATCGGCAATAAAACTGACCCTTTCTACGATATCGATAATTCGCAGCGCCGTGGCCGCATACGATGCTGTAGTCACCGGCCATGGTATTGGCAAACATCCATCAGGCCACCTGAATAAGTCCGTGTATGTCACATGTAGTTGTTGTTACTGGCGGGAGTTCCGTCAGAGTGACCAAGCACCAACCGATAGTAGCACATGTGTACGATTTCCCTGTCCGGCTCGGGATCTCCGATAGGATTGGAGTACGAAATCCGTAACTGTGTCACCCGATAAACCATATCATTGGGCTTTACAGCTCGGATACCAGGAGATATCTGAAAATTGATAGCTGTCAGAGATCACGCCATAACGATTGCAAACTCTTGGTCTGCATTCGCTGGTATGGCAGATCCGGGTTCAAGGGTAGTTGGGGTGGGGGCTATGCCACTTCAAGTTGCTCGTCCGCTTCATTTCGTCGATATAGCGTAACTTATTCTTATGCTCAGAGATGACGGTGCATAGTGATGGTCGACACGTAGCCCCTCCAACTACCGCTCTCCCCACTTCTGTGTGAGTCCCTTATTCCCACATTGAACATTGTGAGTCCTTGTTCCCACATTTTATGGGCACGTTCTGTTTTCTCAGTATGGGACCGTAAACTGATAACACCCTACCATCATCCTTGTATCGATACATGTGATTTTAAATGGCATGTATGCAACAGTTTTTCCAATCTCTATCGGCCAATATTGAATCGTTTCTTTGGAAGGATCATATATCGCTGGATATAGGCGTTCTTCATGTGGAAAGTTCACCGATAAAATCCTCTCGACCTTTTCCTGAATAGCGTCCGTATAGCAAAGAAGCCTTGCAGATCCACCGCAAAACAGCTCACCTGCCAAACCATACACCAAAAATCAAACACACTGCTCATCGTTGGTCCTTCACTTGCTAGATATTCACCTTGGAATAGCGGTCCAATACGTTGAGCATTGATCTTAAAATTCTGAGACTCATACTAAGTAGACAATGACCGTGAAGAGACCTCTCGCTTCAGCCCACGTATGTCACGGCGATGTCCTTGTCAAGCGGGTCACGACATAATTTCAGTCAGAAGTCGAATCAACTGACCGCGAATGGACACTCCTATAACGTGTCTAGAGAAGGCGCGCTCGCAAGCTTGGCTGCGAGCGCAGTGACTTCCCAAATGACTCTTTGGTAGCGTTCTGGGCAGGCGCAGCGGTCGTGGAGCGTTTAACGCGTGGAAGATTTCAGACGCAGTTAAAGACGAAGACGACGACTCTAGCCCCGCTTATCTGCTCTTCGCCAGCTACCGTCCTAACTAGTTGCTCCGCTCCGCTTTTCGTCGTGCCATGTTGATGCCAACGCCATCGTGCAGGCTGCCGTCCAACGACTACAACGCGAGAGAGCTGGACCAATGTAGGGCTCGCCGAGAGTCGCAGGTAGCCACTAGGAGGGGAGGTAGATCGAAACACTCTGGACGCAGGAGGGGAGGATGCTTTCGATGGGGCTAGTAGGCTGTCGCCTTTAGAGTAGTATTTAAATTGCCTAATCACTCTTCTGTACTGCGTTTCTATCGCTATAGGTATTACCATGGCATTTCTTGAGTAGTAGTTATTCGTTATAGTTACACTAGTATATCGGTTGTAGGTTCCATCTAGGTGTTAATGGCTTCGTAGGCTTAGCCAGCCTTGCGAGCGTTCGTCCTTCGGTAAGCAAGGCGCGTGGGCGTGGGTGAGCGGGTAACACCAAGGCCATGGTGCACACCGTGAAGGGGCAGTAAGGGCCTACAGGTTTTGAGTGGCAACACTGTAGAGTAGCGAAGGAAAGCGGCAAGTCCTTCGCATGTATCCGTACCGGACGTGGATCCACCGCCGGACAGCGGAGACCGGAGCTAGATCAGAGGGGCTTGACGACCTGGTTTGACGGCATGATGAAGGTAAGATGACGCACCGGTACGACATCATCCGACCCGTCGACATTTCACAGACACGCGGACAAGGAAACCCGCAAACATGCCCTCTCACGACGTCATAGGAACGAGCTTTTGGAAGGGTGCGCTCGGTGAATAAGGTGGAAAGCTTCGTGTCGGTTCGCGCCGAAAAGCCTGCCAAGTTACCTCATGAGCAAACCCATCCCCAAGTTCACCGCTTCACTCGCTCTCTGAATCGTGGATATGTCGTACTCGGCATTGCATGTAGATCCTGGTCCTTCGCCATGTGCGAGGAGAATGCTCAGCTGCAGTAGCGTGCTACTTACTTTGGTCAAAAGAGCACTGGGGAACGGGCTTGGGGGAGGGGTATCCAGGTGCCATCTCTATGCCCCGCCCGCGCTGCAGCACGGCTAATCATAGCCAAACGCGCCACTTGTCTGCGCCCTCTTACTTCTGGTGGTTCTCTACGGCTGAAAGCATGTTTCGTTACGGAATCTACGCAAAAGCAGTACCCTTATCTTGGCGTGGGCGGAGGGTAGAGGCGGCATTCGGCACCGCTTCCTTCCAGCTGAGAAAGTGGCACGCTACTGCAACTGCAAACACATTCGTCTCGCACATGGAAAGGAGCGCCCTCGGAGGTGATTGCACAGTTTTTCCTCGAAGGGAAGTAATCGATATGCATCCGAACCACTGCTGGCAAAGTCAAATATAATGAAGCAAGTCAGTTCGTATCTCCTGCATGACAGCCGCTGCTTTACGCAGAAGAATTTATGCGAGAAAACCGTGTCGCGATAAACGCAAGGGCGAGGCGGCGGAAGCGACATCGCAAGCGGCCTCGCATGCACGGCATTCGCACCGGGTATGTGACAAGAGAATCGTAATTCACCGCGCTGGTGAGCGTCGCGTGCGACGTCGCGCCCGCAAATGACGATGGTTCCAGGTAGTAGATGGCGACAACAGGCAATTCAGAACCGAAAATAGTCATGAATGTCTACGATGACGGGGTCTACATGAAGTCCGGTGCTCCAATCGACAGGTTAACACGAGTTAAGAAAACGCCGCGCCCATCGCCGCGCGCGGCAGGAGCGGCGAATTACGATTCTCTTGCCCGTCTCCCATTCGCACCAGGATCGAGGAGGTTGGGCTGTAAGCTGTGTCAACTGGGAAATCCTACGCGCGCGTACTTACTTTCGGCGTGTCACAACATGGATGTCGCGGATGTGAAGGCGGCATCGCATGCGGCGAGGCGGCGAAAGCGACATCGCAAGCGGAGTCGCGCGCGGCATTCATACCAGAATCTAGAAGGTTCCACGGTTAACATTGTTAATGAGCTGACGATGAGAAACGCGGGCGCGCTCTTACTTTCGGCGCGTCGCCCGCAACGCAGATGTCCAGGCCCCGCCCGCAGGCAACCAACACGTGGGCTCTCACCCAAATCAATACGCATATTTTAGACTGCACTATAGCTGGGACGCTGCCACGAATTCCAGCCTGATCCGTACGGGTCCGATAAGGACGGAAGGTGGGGTTACGCTTCCGCGACCGCTGGGACCCCTGATAAGGTAACATTGCCCACCTTGAGTTGACGATTCGTGTTTCCACCAAGTGGAGTCGCTATGAATGGATTTCCTTTGCCGGTCTGTGTTTCCCACGCACTCGGTCCGCCATCTAATGAGAAGAACTCTTCGCATAAGCCGCCATAGGCATTATCGATGGAGAATCTCGTCAGAAACCAGCGATCCACCTAAAGTAACACGATTTCAGTCGCGACAGCTCAGCTGTTGAGGACATGTTCACCTTCATGTCCTGCGATGGCGTTTTTCCGCCGACATCCGTCACAACGTGCTTCGTTCTGATTTCCTTCTCACGTTCTCGTACACATCGAATAAGCCTATTTTCATGAAATCCACCCATTCTGAAAACGGCGCATAGTTAGCAACATCGCCGACATCACAAAGACTCGGACAAGTTCGAGCGCTAGGAGGCAGAGCGGGGCAGAGACACAGAGGAACCAAGGTCTCTGCGTCTCTCTGACCCTGCTTCTCTGCACACTAGCCTGTCCGAGCTCGTCTGGAAGGAGCAGCTGTAGCACCTGGGCGTGAGAAAACTGGATCCGTCAGTCAAATACCGTTGATTCTTTCTGAAAACGTCGGTCATGTAGCACACTGCGTGGCAAGTCCAGGAGATCGCTGGAACATATGAATATAACTAAAATGGCTTTGACCTCACCGCATAACGTTTATATACGCTTACACTGATAAGTACTTCGAGAATGAAGTCACTGATACCATCACAACGATAGAAGCTGCCTCAACCACATTGTGCCGGTTTGGATCACTCTTTCCATCGGCTAGATTAGATTGTCTTTCATGGAAAGTACGTTTGAACTTGTAAGTAAAAACGACTGAATCGCGTTGCGATGTTTCCCTAGGACATTTCCAAACCAATATTTTCATCTTTGAATAATATTCTTCTATATGTACCATTCTAATCCCCATCGCCCCGAATAAACGCCGCGAAGAAGCGCTCCCAGCCCGCGCCAAAAACTTAAAGGACGCAGAAGCTAACGCGCTCCAATGCCACCCTTTGGATACGGTAGAAATACACGTAAACCTTTTGGATCAATTGCCACTTTGCTTTACCGGAGGTGGTTGTGCGTATTCTTCTTGATCTTTCTTATCCCGAATAAGACCCGAAAGCTTATGGAGATCTCGATTTCTTTCTGAACTTCCAGATTCTTCATTTGGGAGCTCTTTTTATGACGTGATTTCTTGCAAACTGGAACTCGTATTGGTTCAATCATCCCTTGGTTTCTACCTTTTTGATTGCCTTAAAAATGTCTGATTCGTGGTATTCCAGAAGTTTTTTCTGAAAGGTCATCTAGATCCTGTAATGTCCTATAAAATCCCTTGTCAAGATATTTTGCAGAGTTTGTTCATCTAGTTTCAAGTGTTCAAAGCAGTTTTCCTTATTCTTTCCGCTCGCTTCATGAGTCCCAATATGATCCTTCACTGTCTTACTACGCGATTTGTCTTGTTTAGAATTTGGGTACAAAATGTGGGATAAAGTAGCGCTATTCGCCTTCGTCGCATCAACTGCATCTGCCTATTTCATCAATATTGATGCAAATGAGGAGCAATGCTTTTTTGATCGTGTGATATCTGGTACAAAGATTGGCCTCATGTTTGAAGTGGCCGAAGGAGGATTTCTTGACATTGATGTTAAGGTAACGTTTATGATCGTAGCATGCAACCTGTTGCGTCCATACTTCGCGTCAGCGTTTTCAGCGACTGTATGCGAAAAGTTCAGAACTTTCCGCGGAACGCCTTAAAACGCTAGATCGTTATCTATGCTTTCGTAGTCGCTCAAAAGGCTGGTGTACGATGGATCGATACCTGTACATTTCTGGTCACCAAATCGCTGCCGTACGCTCAAAACGCTGACGCAAAGTATGAACGCAGCCTCAAGGATCGAATTAGCTCTTCATAATCGATGGAGCATTTCGGCATTTCAAAGCACTCAGACCTTCAAAAGCACAACATGTATTTCTTGTGAACGCCTCGTGAAAGTAGCACCCACCTGGTTACGAGTAGAATATCGTTTGTTCAAAGGTTTTGGTCCGCCATCTCCCAGCTACTGCTAAGCTCAGGCAAGAGGCCTCATCTCTTCTAGCTACAGTAGTTTCTTCCCATCTCCTAGCATTCTTGCCCAGTACAAATTATGGCCTGAAAATGAGGCTCCTACCATTTCGTAGCTTAAAGCTCATAACATTGTGATCAACGTTATCAAAACGAACTACTGCACCATAACGCTGTATCTTAGAAACAAACCCTGCGACTGCATATCGTGGGTGATGCGAGTTCAATTAGAAACGCCTTAGGACTCTCCAGCGAAGAAAAAAACAAAAAAAATCGTGGGAATATCTAAGCCCTCTGGCAGCCTCTCTGTACGAGTTCTCCGGGCCTGCTGCTCCTTTTGTGCCAGCAAAGCAACGTCCTGCAACTTCTTGCGCTATCATACTCGCGTCATTTAATGGTAATACCAGATACCATCTAACACTGAAAAAAACGAAAAGCACGGCGTTTAAAACTGAACTCGTGACAGAAATTGGGCGCGATTCGGCTGATGGGAAGGGACATTTCGCCCTTTGCCCCTGCGCTATCCGTTGTCAGAAATGTTTTGACCTTCTTCGTTTCTCTATTTTTTAGGCGACATTCCAGTAAATTCAGTAGATTTCCTTCAAAATTGGCAACATACACTGATCTCTGGAATTGTGGAAAAGCGTTCATGTCGTGTGAAAGAACACTCGGCGCATTAGCAATTTGCTTGCATAATGCCCCTTAAAGAACTGCATGTAGATTGAAGAAGAATTAAATCACGACGACATATAATTTATCGCCATTTAGAATGTGCCATGTATTCAACACCCAATAGAACTTCCTCTTAGGACTCGATAATGACAGATGAAAATTAGGCGTTACTGAAGACCCGTAGAGGCGCTCCCTTTTTAGTCATTTGGCGCTCTTTTGGGCCACTTTCATACTTTGCAGCACTGTAGAATAGGAAGAGTGCACGCCAAAGAAATGTATAGATATTGATATGCCGAACTGAGAGGTTAGAAGAGGAGATTCGATCGATTTCCATCTACTACGTTGGCATGCATTCTCGTTTTCTCTGATCCGCTTACTCTTTCCTGCCGCGAAAGTATGGCCCCCACTGAGTTGTTGGGAAATAGTTTTCCTTCAAAGGAGGACGCACACCAGACGAGCAACCTGCTCCTACTCACAAGCATACGCTCAGAAAAACATTAAATAGCAGTATACAGTCAAGGAAATCAACACTAGGAGAACTGGGTAACTAATTAAGGACCTA